ATGTTTAATGTTAGGAAAAGAAACAACAAAATTAGAAGATGGTCTAACAGCTATGATAAGAATAACAAAAGAAAATGAAGAAATAGATAAATCAAAAGAAATTGAAAAAATAAAAATACAAGCAAAACAAGAAGTACAACATTTAGAAGAAATAAAAAATACAAGTATAAGTGAATTAGAACAAGAATTAGCTAAGTTAAAATTATTCTATGAAATTAAACAAAAAGAAAAAGAAAGAAAAAGATAAAGAATTTGAATTAACTAATGAAATAAATGATATAAAACAAATTAAATGAAAATATTGAAGTAAATGAAATAGACGAAAATGAATCAGATATAATAAATGACCAAAACTCAGAAATGAGTGATATAAGTGAAACATATACAGAAATTTTAGAACAGATAAATAAGCCGAAAAAATTAGAAATAAATACAGGAGATATGAATCGACCCAGTACATCAAGAGTAAAAACTCCAGACAATAGTCCGAGAAATAGTCCTAGAACTAGTCCTAGATGGACACCACCAACATATTATACAGAAAATTATGAACAATCAGATAGAACGAATACAATATGGAATAGCATATTAAATAAAAAATGGACACCTAAACCAATAACTGAACAATATAATTTTTTAGATCTAGATTGTGTTACAGATATAAATAAAACAATATTACTATGGATAGGAAATATATCTAAACAACTAATTGATAATAAAATAACAACTAGAGAAACGCCAAAATATATAGAAAGAACATTTATAGGAACAACAAAATTATGGATAGAAAATCTACCCCCAGAGAGTCTAGAAACACTTAGAAGTGATAAGAAAATGGATGGATCTCCATCAACAACAAATATAGATGTACTAGATAAATATGAATTAGCAATAAGAAATAGATTTGGTGGCATGACCACAGATATAAGAGAACAAAATAAAGAAAGAACAATAAATAGACAACTTATGACAAAATTAGCTATATGTAAGATGTGTTACATAGAAGAATATACATGTGCATTTAAAGAATATTATTACAAAGCAAAATATAATACAAATGAAGCAAAAGAAATAAGACAACAATATTTTACAAAATTACCAGAACCATTCAGTACAAAAATAATAAAAGATTGGAATAATGAAGGAATAACAGATACTTTAGGAGCTAGAATAAAATTTTTACATCAATGGTTTATACAACTATGTGAGAAACAAAAAGAAAAAATAAAAATGGAAAAAATACTAAATAAAAATTTAGCATGTTGTAAAGGTAAAACAGCACCACAATTTGGATGTACAAATAAATATTATAAAAAGCAAAAAACTAAAAGATATAAAGATTATAGAAAAACTAAAACTAGGTATAAATATAAAAAACCAAGACAAAGATATTATGTAAAGAATTATAAAATTAAAAGGTCATATAGACCAAAGAGAAAAATATCACAATGCACTTGTTATGATTGTGGAAAGATAGGACATTTAGCTAGAGATTGTAAATTACCCAAAGACCCAAAAAGAAAACAATTTGCAGAAATAATAATAGATAATGATGAGTATATGCAAATAGAATATATAGACTATGAATTAAGTGAAAACAATAGTATATATGAAGTATCAGATATAGAAACTGAAAATGAAGAAGAAAATATTAACCTAGATTATGACGAAATAGACGAAGAAATATAATGTCTGAAGATGATATAAAAATAATATCTAAAGAAGATTATCAAAATGAAGAATTATCAGAACAAAAAATTATATTTGATAATTCAATTTTTGAACAAATAAAAGGAAAAGAATTAGATTTAAGTGTTGAAAAAGTACTTGAAATACCTACTTTAAGAAATTTTTTTAAAAGACAAAAAGAAGAATACTATGTAGTTAGTCAGAGAGAACATATCATAGATTGCAAATATAAGAGGAAAAGCATATATACCTATACTAAGTAAACGAATAATAAATAAAGAAATACAAGATATAAAAGCTAAAATACCTATAAAATATGTACATTTAGGAGGAACAGAAATATTAATAAAAGCTTGTTTTAGAGAAGGAATAGATACACCTATTGAAATATACTTAGCAGATGATAAAATTATACACCCTATAGAAAAAAGTGTAATTAGTGCAGTAAAAGGAAACTTAATATATCAAAAATTTAAATTTATAATAAGTGTCAATTATACAGTAGCATTAATAGATAGAAATATAGATAAATCATTAGTATTATATTGGAATATGTCTGGAATAGAGTTAGCACCAGACAGTAAAATATTTACAGCAAGATGTAAAAACTTATATATATTAACAACAAAACATAAAGTAACAGCAAGAAATAAAATTGTCACGACCCAAAAATGGTCGTGATGGCACTCGTCTTATCCCACCAAGACAAGTAAGCCTAAAATTCAACTATTACAATAAAAATGTGGAAAATTTACCATCAACTTACATTATACCCCAAAACCTGGTTGTCACGTGTACAAGTCTCTAAAGTATTACAATTGATTCAAAAGCAACGCTAGTCTCAAATGAACTTGTTTCTAGAATAGAATAAGATCTTAACTAAGGAGAAAGAAAGTACGCTGAGGCGATAAACAACAACCTCTCAAATCTCCAAGAAACCTCAAACAGGGAGAAGAGAAATATCACAAAGTCCGGGCTAGTAACCTACAAAAAAATTTGTAGAAGCAAGGGGTGAGCACCAAACCACACGGTCCTCAGCAAGTAAGCCTCTAAACACAGGCCAAGGGGATGAAATACGGGTACTCCTACCACCCCCAACCGAACCTCCACAACTACAACCTGCATTAAAATCAACCCAACCTAACAGCTCACAATTTACACAGCACGTAGCTCAATAACAACAGTTAGACAAATTACATATCCTCAACAACAACACTTTAACAAATTACATATCCTCAATAACAATACTTCAACAAACTACATATCCGCAATAACAAGCTCAATATTGATCAATCACAAGTTTCGCAGAAAGGCAAACAGAAGATCAGCAAAACACGATATCAAATTCACTAATCATAAGTATGTGCAATGCAATGGAATGCAATGTCAAGTATAATGATGCATGTCTGACCTAGTGATACACACCCGCTGTCTCTCAGTCGGGGACCCATGGGGGACATATCTGTCCATGCATCTGTCGCGGCACACGACACGATCCTCGATATAGTAACCATCGCGGTGCGCAATACGTCCCTCGAAATATAGTATCCATCGCGGCGCGCGATACGTCCCTCGAAATGGTACATCCTCTTAAGTACTCATTCTTTTTCAAGGCACATAACACTTGTGACAACCAATGCGTCAGAATAATGCAGATGACAAGTTCACACAAATAATGAGGAGATGACCACTTTCATAACATCGCACACTTCACAACCACACAAACATGAAGTCACATCAACAATGATTCAACAAGCCTTCAACCCTTTCTCAACACATCACACATAAACAATTGATCACATTGCCTTTTGTTATCCCTTTTTTTCATCATTAGAATTAATCAATGTGGACAAGTCAACCCATCACCAATCCCGTTACTCCCAAACATATACCACAAGAAATACACGCATTTCATACACTTAACAAGAGTTTAGTAATCCACTTACCTCAAATAGTCGAACAATGACTCCAAAACTTGAGCCTTCCTCGTTTGGTTGACTTCCAAACCAATAAAATCTATTCAAATAAATAACCACGATATAATTTTGAAACTAACAACATTCATAGTGTTATATCTCTAGCTTAGACCCAAAACTCATCCAAATTTATAATAAAATTTCTAATTCTTTATTCCAACCAATTGATCAAATCTCATATTTTCTTTCAAGTTTAGGGTTAAATCTTAATTCTCCGAATAACATAATTATAATGATTTTTATATATCATAATGCACCCACTATTTAACACATATCTCAATATATCAAAACTTGAATCCTAATATTATAATCAAATAAAAATAATTAAAGCCGAAACTAACTGCCCAACACATCAATAGCGGACTACAAAACTATCTGCTGAAACCACTTATTTTCAATGTTCCAATTCATATTTATCGTTCCACTATTAAAAATCCTAATCTTGGAGTAATCATTGTCCAATGATTAGGACTAATCATTGTCCAATGATTGAACCATAATACTTATACACATTTATAATCCCAAGTTCACAAGTTCACATATTAGTATAAATTATACACGTTTTAACCTAAAAATCTATTCCTAGTTACACAAAAATTTAATAGAAAGGATAAGAATAATTACCTTGATATCTCGAGATAAAAATATTGTTGTTTCTCCTCCTTTTTCCTTTTCTTTTCTCCCTTTCTTTTCTTTTCTTATCTGCGTATTTTTTTTCCATAGATCGTTCCTTTTTTTCCCCTCATAAGCCGTGTGCAGCGGCTTCAACCATTTAGGGCACTTTGCCCTTTTTATTATTATTATTATTATTATTATTATTATTTATTTATTTGATTTTCTTTTTTTTCTATTTTTTTCTTTTTTCATTATTCTTAGCAACAAAATAATCCTTTATTAAATCTAAAAATTATGTCGCTCATTCTTATAAGTCATATAAATTATTTACAAAATCTACTAAAAAGGTTAATATAATAATCCTGATTAAAATTTCTAAAACGACTAAGAGGATCAGTACATTATCCACCACAAAAAATCATGTTCGTCCTCGAACATAAAGTAGGAGAAGGAAGAATAACTAACACGACCAAAAACTTGAGGTATGATTTTCAAAGTCGTGTTTATCTCTCCAAGTGATCAATTCATCTTTAGCACATTCTATTAAATATCAACTACCAAGAACTGAAGTTTTGAATGAAACTTCGGAAGATTTACATATCACGCATAAACCAACCAATGAACCCAATCTAAACTGAAACCCACTGGAACATAACACAATCATCACGACAAATCTTTTCTTACATAACAAGGATAACGTTCTGAATCCATACCCACTACAATCTGAAGTGAACCTAGACCAACGATCACATACACCTATTACACAAACCATCATAGACCTTATTAAGATTTTCTTGTCACAAACTAATCTTTTCATGAGCTTAAACTATGAAAATCTGATCTTTAGACATCGAATACTCATCAAGGGATAATCAAACATATCTAATCCAATGAAGAACAAGATCAAGTAAGCACCCTACAAGTGGTACACGCTAGGATGCAGAACCTTTTACAACACTGTCGGATAACCATAACTATTCATGAAAGTTCTTTTGTAAGTTCCCATAAGCAAGGTTGTGCATATAAAAATAATAATATATTTTTAATTTTTCAAACAACATCAAATATGCCATAACCGAAGTGAACAAGTCTAACCAAGGATCCTACCCTATCAAGAAGACATAAGAGGATCGGTACATCTGATCCACCACTAGAAATTCACTCATAGATGTAAAAAAATGTGGGCATGTGCAAAGAATCATACTCCAAATCATGTCCGAAATGAAGTAGGTGGTCAACTTAAGAATATACGGAATCAAGGTCGAATAACACTAGATACTTTCTCCATAATTCCCATATCAATATTTTCATTCATCTGACTACATTCCTCAATTTATTTATTTATTTTTTTAATTTTTTTTTCCACCCAAAATCAACCAGTCTGATCTCCATTACAATTTTACACATGCTGGATTTGCCAAACCCTGCATACTTCTCATAGTACTCCATCAAAGCCAACACTATTAATATTAACAAATATCATAACCACACCAACCATTTACCTTACTTTCACACCGTCATTACGTATCACGTTCTCCTTAGCAAGCACATTGTAGCCTCCAAGACTTTGAACCATGGTTTCTTATCTTTCCATTTAAGCGTCCCATAATAGATATAAGTCACACCCAAGACCGATAACACTAATTTCAAATCTATATTTCTCCTTTAGGGTAAAATAATTAAGTCACACTTAATGTCAACTTCACCTCAGCTTTCATATACCATTTTCAACCACCATCTGTACCATCATTTACCTCATGCGATAACTCAAAGAAACCCTTGATCACTCCAATATTTATGTATACTATAATCTCATAACCTCTACTCACCATAAAATGCCTATGTAACACATTATAACAATCTATTTTGTCTCGTCAACAAAATAATTTTAATCCCCTCCAATCCTCATTAATCATGTAAAATTGTAGGTCCACACTAATTAACATCCATTTGTTACTTAATCACCTTCTGAACAATCTAGCTCGACATAACCATGTATAATCTTCCTTATGTCATTTATTGTAATCCAATCAAAACTTAATATTTAGAAAAGTTAATAATAAACCCATAGTAAGTAGGTGCCGAACTAGTTCACATCTCATAGTCATATCTAAACTCAAAGGCGAAATCACTACAACCATCACCTCCGAATCCAATGTTTGTACGAGAGGTCTTATTGTTCCTTTGCCTTTCTTAAAATCTTTCCACGACGGAAATTTCAAATAACTTGAACTCTTCAATACACCATAATTTTTCTCCTTTTTGCTAACTCACTTACCAGTCTTATTTTTTTTGGCCAACAATATGAGAAACCTTATGTATAACAATCAAAAGTAACCAAAGGTACTACTCGATTTTAAGTCCTTCTAAATGCTTCATACTCAATGTGATCGATCATTTCTGACCTTGCCAATTCATACCTTGACAAGATACAGTATCACAAATCTAAACTTGCCATGTAAACTTGAAGTTTTGATCCCAACCATGTAACACAATCCCATTATCTTACAACATTAGCTCATACCAAAAAAAATAAAAAATTTACTTAACGTATTTTACTTATCGTTGATTGCCTCTTCATTGACCCTACCATATCTTTTTCTAAAAATCTTATCATACTCCTTACCAAATCAAAACCACAAAAGAACTAATCATCATATTCGAGTTGAACGTCCGTACACTCCTTTCTCAAGTTTTATCCAATAGTTTATTTTTGTTTAATCAATCTGTTGAACTTGTGACACTATATTATATCATAATCTGGATGAAACAGGTAAAATCACTTGTCTCTGAACCCAATTCTCCAAATTCCTTTGAAGATACATCCTCAACCCTTGCAAACAATGTAAAATAGCCTAATTTTATCCTCGCTCTGAAAGTTAAACTATTTGCCACTAATTCTTTCCATTATGGCTCTAGCTCTTTTCAATTTTTATTTGATGACATCCCAACTCCTTTTAAACATTACCATAAAACCACACTACTTATGAAATAGAAACAACCATAACCTTAGATACTCAAAATTTATCATTACCATAAAAAAAATCGTTTTGACCAACACCCGTATCATATAGTTGCATTTCAATCATAATGCATCATAAAATAATCATCATGCTTAGTTCGTCATTTCCCTCACTACGAATTTAGCCTCGCCATTAACATGACAATCCAAACCTAGTTATGCCAACCATCCAAGGTACTTACTCAATTTATATGCACTTTCTTACTGAAATTCTCAATTACATTCACACAAGTATACTTTTTGAGACTTCCTTTACTTATAAGTTTATCATTCATATTTCCACTTCCATGGAATTTAAGATGAAATTAACACTCATTTACAATCCACAAAATACATTTCACAACCTGAACATATCAATATCATACCAAAGATCTACCACTAAAAGCTTCCTTATAAATAATGCTTAACACATCCACTCGTACTAACAAGCTAGTTTGTATCTCGAATATGAATTCAACACCAAATCTTATCGTATGAGCATGTAATACAACAGATAAATCCTAAAGTAGTTAGTATTTGCACTTAACAATCAACATGTTCGTTTTCATGTACCACTAGTAACACATCGTGAAAATTCGTTACATCCACCACTAGAACAGATCATATCTATTGAGAAGATCATTTTCAAATAGGTCACACACTTTATCCATCAAATAGCTATAAAATATTACCGGATTAGTTTTGTATCTACCCCAAGCTATATGTATTCTTTCGTAAGCAAGGTCAATATCAAAAGTAACACACTCCATAATTCTAACCAAGTCTCCATCAGTACCATTGTAATAGTTGTATCATGACCTTCTTTGGTATACACTCAATCTGTGAAACCACATAAGGGATTCTGACCTGAATTGGTGCAACATCATTTGTTCAGTAACTCATTAATGGTATGACAACTATATCAATTGTATTACACTATTTATAATCTAGTCAATTTTTCAAACATTTAACTTCTAATTGTCGAACCACTCCATATTTTGGTTATACAAGATAAGTACTATATTTATTATTATTATTTTACAATAATAACTAACCTTACTCAACTCTTTAAAATATGATCACGCATTCGTTTCATAAGTATATCATTTCCACCTTAATACCAGATCTAACATCAAACGAATACACGACATGTCAATGATTCACAAAAGGAACTACGCACAAGTCATCACATAAATGAGAGCGAATGGAGTGAAGCGATAAGAATAGGTACAGACATCTCCGTACCAATCATCGAGACTCTATTTAGACTCGACTTGTACACACGTGAGACCTATGAACCTGGGGCTCTGATACCATTTTGTCACGACCCAAAAATGGTCGTGATGGCACTCGTCTTATCCCACCAAGACAAGTAAGCCTAAAATTCAACTATTACAATAAAAATGTGGAAAATTTACTATCAACTCACATTATACCCCAAAACCTGGTTGTCACGTGTACAAGCCTCTAAAGTATTACAATTGATTCAAAAGCAACGCTAGTCTCAAATGAACTTTTTTCTAGAATAGAACAAGATCATAACTAAGGAGAAAGAAAAAACGCTGAGGCGACAAACAACAACCTCTCAAATCTCCAAGAAACCTCAGACAAGGAGAAGAGAAATATCACAAAGTCCGGGCTAGTAACCTACAAAAAAATTTGTAGAAGCAAGGGGTGAGCACCAAACCACACGGTCCTCAGCAAGTAAACCTCTAAACACAGGCCAAGGGGATTAAATACGGGTACTTCTACCACCCCCAACCGAACCTCCACAACTACAACCTGCATTAAAATCAACCCAACCTAACAGCTCACAATTTACATAGCACGTAGCTCAATAACAACAGTTAGACAAATTACATATCCTCAACAACAACACTTTAACAAATTACATATCCTCAATAACAATACTTCAACAAACTACATATCCGCAATAACAAGCTCAATATTGATCAATCACAAGTTCCGCAGAAAGGCAATCAGAAGATCAGCAAAACACGATATCAAATTCACTAATGATAAGTATGTGCAATGCAATGGAATGCAATGTCAAGTATAATGATGCATGTCTGACCTAGTGATACACACTCGCTATCTCTCAGTCGGGGACCCATGGGGGACATGTCTGTCCATGCATCTGTCGCGGCACACGATACGACCCTCGATATAGTAACCATCGCAGCGCGCGATACGTACCTCGAAATATAGTATCCATCGCGGCACGCGATACGTCCCTCGAAATGGTTCCTCTTAAGTACT